TAAATGGGCGTTTACCTTTTAAGTCTAATTTGACCGAGGAAAGTAGAAAACCTGTCGTATTAGACGGTAAACACGAAATCGTTAAAATGATGATTAGAGAAGTTCATCATCATTTTGGACATGCCAATCACCAGACGGTGATGAATGAGGTGAACCAAAAAATTTTATGTCTTGAACCTGCGTAATGTAGTACGAAGTGTGTCACATCATTGTCAGTGGTGCAGGACATACAGGTCAAATCCGCAGAACGTGCCACAAGGAAATATTCCTCTGGAGAGAATAGCTCACAATGAACCACCTTTTACATGTTCAGCCGTAGATCATTTCGGACCTATGAGTGTGACTATAGGAAGGCGACACGAAAAACGTTGGGGTGTTTTATTTATGTGTCTGACCATCAGAGCAGTATACCTAGAATTAGCAGCCTCATTGACACCAGCGTCAATGATAATGGCATTGAGGCGATTTATCGCCAGAAGAGGAAAACCAGCCGTTATATACAGCGATAACGGGACAAATGTCAAAGCTGCGAATAAAGAATTATTGAAAGCATGCGAAGAATGCTATGAGGGCATGAAAAATGAGTCATTTAAAAAATATATTAAATGGAAATTTATACCTCCGGGAGCACCGCACATGGGCGGCGGCTGGGAGAGGTTAGTAAGATCAATTAAAATTGCGTTGACCGCTACGCTCAAAGAAAGGAGCCCGCGAGAGGAGGTTCTGCATACGTTGCTTTTGGAAGCAGAGCATACTGTAAATTCCAGACCTCTGGTAACATTCAGTATGGATAGTCCTGAAGAGGGTTTGACACCCAATCATTTTCTTCTGGGACGCTCATGTGGTGATCGACCACCTGGATTATTTTTAGAGCAACATCTGACGGGTCAACTCAATTGGAAAGCTGCACAGAGGTTAGCCGACCATTTTTGGACAAGATGGCTGAAAGAATACATGCCTACTTTAATACCTCGAACGGGTAATAACGGAAAATTCATGGAACCTAAAGAAGGTGATATTGTTTTGATAATAGATCATTCGTTGCCACGAAATACGTGGCCGAAAGGCAAAATTAGTAGAACGCTACCGGGACCAGACGGTCACACCAGAGTGGTTGACGTCATTACTAGCACAGGTATCTTGAGGAGACCTACATCCAGAATAATAGTCCTGGTACCCGCGACGCCTCCCAAATGATGGTGCTAACGCACGGGGGGGAGATTGTTGGCGACGCGCCTATAAGAATATTTCAGTTTATTAAGTCAACCGATGACGAATAACGTCTCAAAGGCATATTGTCCAATAGCAATGTTCTAATAAGAAAATGCTTAGTTGAATCTTGAAGAAATGTCGAATTAATGATATGAAGGTCTTGGGTTCGACTCCCAGGCCGGACTAGTTTATTGTTTTCCTAAGTAATATCTTTCAATAAATTCATATTGGGAATTTTAAGATATAAATTATGTTACCGGATTGGTTCCCCGGTTGAAATCATCTTTCCAATGATGTAAATTTAAAAGAATAATTAAATAAAGTTAAAGATCGGATTTGTTCCCCGGTCGAGATGATCACATAAATAGAATTAACGGAAATTAATTGCATAAGTATTGTTTTATATGAGTTTGATATGTACTGTACGAAAACAAATGCCTATTTGTCATGATTGATTTATGAAAACATTCACTTATATTGTTTGATAAGAAACATGATAACTGATAAGAATCTGATTAGAGATAGTTTCCTACAGTTCGAAAATTGTGTAAAAGCATTTAAATTACCTAATATTGTTAAAATTAGTGTATATCAGATTTCCATTTTTTATGATAGCCGAGAGCCGTGCAAAAGTTAGTTGTTCAAATAGTGTGAGTTCACGGAAGCACGCTGGCCACGCCCTTAGGAGGCCGAATATGTAAAAATTTAAAATGTTTGTAATTTCAGCAATTTATGTAAAAATGACTTATAAAACATTTCAGGTTGATTGTACGTGCTAAAAAGGTGAATTCAGTGTTATTTTTATGTGAAAATTCCTGTGTATAAGTGAAATAATGATAGTTTTGTATAAGACATTTAAAAGTGTTTTAAATAGTGAAATAAATAGAGAAAATGTAAATTAAACTATAGTATTAGTTAACTTATGTATAATTTCAAGTGGAAAACATTGTTTTAACTTTCTGTGTTAAATATTTAAGAAATTTCGACTTCGAACTTGTGAGTAAAATAGGCATATTTCATTTAATAAATAAAAGGTTTTTCGTGATATGAAAATGTAATGTATATCGTAGTGTAGATATTGTTTTGTGCTATCTATATAGATAAATTGTATTGATGTAAGATTTATGCAAATAAAGAGATTAAGTAAAACATGAGTGAGTAATAGAACAAATTCATGTAATTAAGTTGCGCAAGCACGCGAATGGCGCGGCTCACTTTCGCGTATAGCTCTGGGGTAGCTTAGTGAACGGGTTTTATTGCAATTCGTTCGGGGAAAAAGTTCGGAAATCATACCAGCAGTCAATAAGAAGAAGAAAGAAAAAGTGTAGGGAAGTGATAGGGAAAATTGATTACTCTCCACGGAGTGGTTTGAAGATAATTGCTGTTTTATTCCCAAGAAATTCATCCCTCAAGTTATACAGTCCACATCGAAGAATTAAGGCGTTGGGACCGGGACGACTTCGGAAGACCCGTAATCCCCGTCTGAACCTACTTGCTGAAAATGAAGAGGTTATCGCCCTTGTGTGTTACTCCGTTGCGGAGATCACATACGTTGTTCCCGAACCCAACGTAGGCGTTATAGGAGGCCGGATCGAGAGAAGCCTCGATTCCTCCCTTCTGTTTCAGAGCCCGAAAGTTTGTGCTCCTCCTTCTGCATTCCTTTTCAATATCTGTATTTTCACACCATTTATATTTTGACAGCGCGACGAAGACTTACATCGTGCACCCGTACGTGCAGTTAAGTTCTGCAGTTACTTATCGCTTCGCATGGTATCCGGTTATACCCTGCAGTTGGATCTTACAAGGCGCGGTGATTTTTACGTTAAGCTACGGGTATATACCAAGGAAATCGAGTCGCTGGAAAGGGAGCGATTGAAACGGGCCTTGGTCACATTACGCTCTGCTACTACTGAGGGCTCGAGGATCTGTATTCAACCAGTTTTGTATCCATCTAACAATACAAAATATTTATTGTGCGTCTTTGTTTAAAAAAAAACTAAAAGCTAAAATCTTAAAATTGCTAAGCTAAAACTCTAAAACGTAGTCTTAAATATTTTTACACTAATAAACTTAAGTACTTACTAAATTAAATTATACTCCCTCCTTGTCCGAGATATTATTACAATGTAGTCTACGCTTTTCGTCGTCGTAGCCATCACAAGATTCCAAGCTCCAACCACAAAAAAAAAAGAAATGTGTTGCTTATGGATATAGTCTCTGTCAACATACAAGACAACTTCATTACGTACTTTTGTGCGTGAAAGCCATCATTGTATTTATAAGATTTTTTCAAATGAATTATTATTTGATAGATATTGCAATGAAATCAAACAGTAATTTGTCTATAGTGCAAGGCAGTGTATGTGTTCGATATTTTTATGCCAAAATAACAAGATTTGGCAGGATAAAAAAGATCCGGGAGAAGCATGGCAGCGGAAGCGTAACAAACATCAGTGTTAAAATAAGTTAACTTTTAATCAGGTAAAGACCAGAGAAAAGCAGGTGAGTGGAAACATAACGTATCGTAAGGAAGGCAAGTTTAAAAAATAAAATAAAATTGTAAATAGTAAATAAAGGTGTACCATAGACTAATCAGTAGAGTTTATAAAGTAAAGGCGTATCATAAACAAATCAGTAGAGTTAGGGGATAGGTATAAAATATACATTTCCGCCGGATACACCATTTATTAAATTATATTAAGGAAAAAGTTACTCAACATAACAAAAACTCATAAATTTAAAATAACAGTTACCGTTACAACGTTAGTTGCTTCCGTAAAATCAAAGTGAACTGCAAGCCCTTTTTTATTATCCTAATTCTAAATATTTGCACTCGTGCTCAGTTTTTAAAATGGGGAAGAGGAAAAGTTCCGATAATCCCAAAAAAAAATAAAAAGAAGATTAGGAAGCTAGAAAAGAAACTGCGGAAAAAAAGAAAATCTTGAAGGCTCTAAAGAGACTACTCCTCCATTGGTGGATTTATCGCCTAGAGTAGCAATTGCAGAGCCATTGGAGGAAAAATGCAATCGAAGAAATGCAAATAGATGATCAAACAACCACTTCAGGTGAGTTTTTCTTATGAGATATTAATAATATGGTCTAAAAATACTGATAGTAAATGCCAACTAGGTATCTGTTCTGATGACCAAGTGCTATTATTCATGCATCAGGGAGAATAGCTATGTCAAATTTATCTCTTAAGCTATCACCTTGAGGATAGTCAGAGAAATAAATTAGAGACAATTTTAGAGAAATAATTTTTTGTAGCGCTACCACATAGAAGATAAACAGGATTCATTGTACTTCTTCTATATGGGACATAAAATACAAAATATAAGAACAGAACATAAGGCCTAAAAATACTGCTGGGATAGAGAAAATAGCAGGTGTCTGTTCAGATGACTAATACTATCACAGTGGGGATGAACATGTCATACCTCTTCCCTTAGAGCTACCACTTTGAGGGTAGACAGGGAATAATTAAACCCTTTAGAGCTATCACATTGAGGATAGACAAGGGTTTTGTAGCGCTATTATTCAGAACACAAATCATTAGGCTATTTGGTAATATATATATATATATATATATATATATATATATATATATATATATATATATATATATATATATATATATATATATATATATATATATATATATAAAATATATATATACATATATACATTTCAGACAATGACATCCCGGAGGAGCTTTTATTAGCCTTAGGACCAGAAGGAGAAGAATCAAAAGAAGTGGGAGAGCCAATAAATATGCAGTTAGCGACGAGATGGACAAAGATTATGATGGAAGGATTGGGAAAAGAAGCTCGGGAAAAATAATAAACAAGTTCTTAACTCCGTCTAACTTCAAAGCTGTTATAGCTCCTCAAATGAATCCAGAGATAAAGGCATCATTGTCAGAAATACTAATTAAGAGAGACAAACGGTTGGTAAATAGACAAAATATGACGGGAAAAATAATGACAGGAATTGGTTTAGTACTGACAAATTATTATTATCAAAGGGAATATAAATACAAGAGAAATTGTGGAACAGTTAAGCGACACAGCAAAGATAGCTGCTGATATCTTCTATGAAGACTCGGCTGCCAGGAAATATTTTGCCTTGTCTGGAGCAACTCTTGTACTAAGAGAAGCAACGAAGAATGCAAAGACCGTTTCTCAAAAGTTCTTGTTTGGAAAGGACTGTCCTGAGAACACCAGAACAGCTCAGACTATCCAAAAAACAGGAGCTCAAATAAAAGCGGTGGAAAAGAAAAAGACAGCCCCAAAAAAGGGAAACTGGAAGAGCCCACTGCAAGTTCATCCTACGCGCAGTGGGCAGAATTACCGAGCACAACCCTACAAACCGAGATATCGTCCCAGTCAGCCACTATGGAGAAAAACTCAAAACATAGGAGCTCCGCCAGCTCAGACAAAGAGGAACCACCGTCATTAGAGGTAGGTACTGGGAAGTTAAAACAATGTCTGAGTAATTGGTTGGAAATTACAAATGACCCAGTATTAATAAACTGGATAAAGGGTTATAAAATACCCTTCAATCAAATACCAAACTTATATGAGGCTCCTACCCAATACTGGTCTAGAAGGGAAAGAAATATAATATACTCAGAAATTCTGAAATTATTAGAAAAAGGTGCAGTTTCAGAATGTTTGTTTTGTGAGGGGCAGTTTGTATCTCCAATATTTGCTATTCCAAAACAGAATGGAAATTATAGGTTAATTTTAAATTTAAAAAAATTAAATGAATATATAGAGACTTCTCATTTTAAGTTAGAGAATATTAGAACAGCTTGTGAATTAATTTCCAAAATTGTTTTATGGCAAAAATTGACCTCAAAGATTCCTATAGCCTTCAGCCCTATAGCCCTTTCGGATGAGTCAAAGAAATTCTTAAGATTCAGATTCGAGGATAAATTGTACCAATTTAACTGTTTACCCTTTGGCATTTGCTCTGCTCCTTTTGTTTTCACCAATCTAATGAAACCAATTTGTACCTATCTTAGAAGTAAAGATATTATTTTATCATGTTATTTAGATGACAGCATATACTTTAATTCTTCTCCGTTAATATGTAGAGAAAATGTAACATTAGCATGTAAATTATTTCAAAGATTGGGATTTTCTGTAAATTTTGAAAAAAGCATTCTAACTCCAAAACAGACCTGTAAATATTTAGGCACTATTTTAGATTCAAGAGATCTATCCTTATCCGTTCCAAAAGAAAAACAATTGGATATATTAGAAAATATTAAGAATTTTGAAAGAAAGAGTCATTGTAAGATTAGAGAGTTTTCACAATTATTAGGTAGGTTAACATCAATCTCTTTTAATTGGACCAAAAGTGGGGTGTGATGACAGGCTTAAGCGGTTTTTTTTAAGGGAGCGTTCAGGTTGAATCCCCCAAGACCAAAATATAATGTTACATGGGATCCAGGCTTAGTTTTAGATTATTTGGCACTTTAGTACCCAAATGAATCCGTTGAGATTGAATTATTAACCAAAAAATTAGTTACTATCTTAGCTCTCACAACAGGTCATAGGGTACATACCTTATCACTTATTAAGCTACGAAATATTAAAATTAATTCCTCTGGAGTACAGATTAAAATTCCTGATTTGATAAAAACATCAAACAAAAATAAACTGCAACCAATTCTACATCTTAAAAGTTATATAAGTAAATTAGAAATATGCCCAGTGAATACATTAACATCATATATTAGGAGAACAGAACCTTTCAGACACAATACTGAACAATTATTTTTAACATTTAAGAAACTACATCGAGCGGCCTCATCACAGACCTTAAGCCGATGGGTTAAATCCACTCTGAGTAAGGCAGGAATAGATATGTCTATTTTTACAGCACACAGCACTAGACATGCTGCAACCTCCGCCGCGAACAGGGCAGGTTTAAATTTGGATCTCATATGGAAGACTGCGGGTTGGTCAAATAATTCTGAAACTTTTGCCAGGTTTTACAATAGACCTTTATTGGATGATTCATTATTGTTTAGTAGTACGGTTTGTAACACATCAAGTGTTGGTTGATTAATTAATTAAGAATAGAACAAATTAGTAATGTAAGCAAATTACTTAAACTTGTTTTAAATACACACGGTTTTAAAAATTGTACAATAATTCTTTCATTCACAACCCAGTCTTCAAACATCTACATTGTAATAATATCTCGGACAGGGAGAAAGTATAATTAGGTGATTAAACGAACTTACCTTAAGTGAAGTTCAATCACAATTATACGAAGCTCCTTGTCCGAGACTAGACTCCCACCCATCCCTTAAGACCCAAGCAAGGGTTGTTCATGAAAGGGCTTTAAACTAATGAAGTTGTCTTGTATGTTGAAAGAGACTATATCCATAAACAACACATTTCTTTTTTTTTGTGGTTGGAGCTTGGAATCTTGTGATGGCTACGACGACGAAAAGCGTAGACTACATTGTAATAATATCTCGGACAAGGAGCTTCGTATAATTGTGATTGAACTTCACTTAAGGTAAGTTCGTTTAATCACCTAATTATGTATTACTGTCAAACGTTTTATTTACGTTGTGAGATATACTTCTCACGTAAAAAGTATTATTCACAAATCGATTAATAGTATCGAACTAAATATAATGATGTGTCTTACCTGGATCGAAAAGCACTTGCCGCCCTCCCTCAATTGCGTGCACTAATTCCGTCACCACTAGTCCCAGCACCACTACTTCCAGCACCACTACTTCCAACACCACGATTCCAGGAAAGACACACCATTGACGATAATACGACACCTGTTTCGCCTCTACACGAGGCATCCTCAGGTGATGTAGATTCTACGGGGGATGACCGCTTACGCGCGGCTTACTTTGGCGGCTTACGGCGGTTGACTCAATATGTTAGTATTTCACCAGAAATATTTGTTTCCTAAATTTCCGAAACAGTTATTACGACTTTTAAAAGACAATTTATCAAAACATATGTCCATTAAAATCAATTTTGAATTATTCGTTTCTTATTATTTAGGTAAGAATAAGGAAAATTCCCTTAAGTCTTTTAACGCTAAATAAAACATTTTATTACAAAATACAAACCTATCACTAACTTATAAACCAGTTGTTGTAACATTAATAAGCAAATATTCAAAGTTTGAGCTATCTGAATCAGTTTGGACTATCGATTCCATAATTCGTTTTGAAATGAACGTCGTTAAATATAGTCTATTAAGAGCTGGATCATTTATAACCTTACCAAAACATATATCTTAAACAAAATCATGTCTGTATATATATATATATGTGTACATATATGTATGTATATATATATACATATATATATATATATATATATATATATATATATGTATATATACAACATGTAACATTATTAACGCACTTTGAGAAAGTAGTTTGTTCAGAATCGTTTACTGAATCTATTCCTATCACTTTTAATATAGGTAATTCTTTATCCCAAAAATAATTAAAAGTACGTAAATTACAGTCACACTAAAGCTGTACAGTCAAAACAAACTGAAATAGACCTTAACTTAAGGCAATAAGTCTTTTAAGAGTGCAGTTTTGTTTGTATTATTACTAATTCTGTCATTCAATAAAAATAAAGAAAAATGAACTTTATTTCAAGCACTTTAAAGTCTTTGCGTTCGTGGATTTGTACTGTGACCACAACATTCTTCCGGAATTAGTATAACTAATTTGATAAATAATCAGTGCATAAAAACGTTGAACCATAAATAAAGTGTATGTATTATGATTATAACATAATATACTAATTGGGGTGTCTGAGGGTGTGCGTTAATTACGTTACATATTATATATATATATATATATATATATATATATATATATATATATATATATATATATATATATATATATATATATATATATATATATAATCATGATAATTACTGTTTTGTATGATCTGTGGTAGCATATATTTATACAGCATAAATAAATCCAGAGAAAAGAAAAAAAGAGTTTCGTCATATCCGCGTTATTCCAATTTTTTCAACTTAATGGGTATATTGCTTCCATCTAGCTTTAATGATATTAAGCGATTTGAACATAATAATAACCGTATGATGAACGTAAATGTACAAAACTTGCAGTCGTAAGTTGAATCATAAAATAAGGAAAAAATGAGTAAAGAAATAGTGGTGAGGGAAATACATAAACAGGCAAGAAATAACTTTCCGCGAGTACATCACAACACGGTTGAAAGACATTGACGATTTATGGCAGGCTGTTCTAATTGCAAGAAATAACTTTCCGCGAGTACATCACAACACGGTTGAAAGACATTGGCGATTTATGGCAGGCTGTTCTAATTGACATGCTAGCTGTTTCTAATGAAAATTCTAATTACAAATACTTGTTGGTAATTATTTATGTTCTTTCAAAGTATGCTTGGTTATAATATCATTTAAAACAAAAGAATATGGAACAAAAAATTTACAGCCTAACTTAGAACTAAATTTTACAATAAGAAACATAAGAAATCTTTCAATCATTATAAAATAAATCCATCTATATATTTATTTTATACTTATAAATCTACTTATATAAATCTATCTATTTATATAAATCTATTTTTTCTATTGCAAAAGCCTCTATAGTGGAAAGATTTATTAAGACCTTTGAAAGTATTATGTATAGATATTTTAGTATAAAAGGAAACCATGTTTAGTATAGACAAGAAATTATGACAGTGTGCATAGAACAATAGGTTTAAAAATCAAGTAAATTCAAGAAATAAAGAACAGATATTGCAAAAATATAAAACGTGTTTCTATAAAAAGTCTAGTACAAAAAACTCTTAACTTAAAATTGAAGATTATGTGCATGTTAGTAAGTATGGAAGTTATGTAAGAAACTTTTGAAAAAGGATTTACGCCAAATTGGTCGCCTGAAATATTACTTATTTACTTACTTATCTTCACGCATAATCCCTAACGGGGTAGCCAGAGAGAACAGATCGCCAAGTGTCACGATCCTTACATACCTCTTTCGCTTCTTTCAGGTTCATTAACTTCTTCATACATGCACGTTTAGGTATCCGAGTACTCTTGACTTTCCCCTCTTCGAGTAATTTGCTCACATGGTCTTCGAAAGTGTCTACCTCGACACCTTTTAATATTTACTTTCGCGCTATATATTTCTTCACCATTCGGTTTTCACTCATTCGCTCAACGTGCCAAAACCATCGGAGAACGCCCCTATCAATTTTTGTGATAAGGTCATCTTTCAATTCTCCCATATTGCGAATCTCTTCGTTTCTCTTTCGGTCGGCTATGGTAACGCCGCACATTTTAGGAAGAGATCGCATCTCCACTGCATTCAACTTGCTTTTATGCTTCTTCTAGCATACCCAGGTTTCGCTGCCATATAACAAAGTGGCACCAACACTGTGTATTGCAAG